ACACACCCACCTGGCAGAGTTTAAGCCGCTGGGTCCGGTATTCAAACCACGGTCGACTACATGGGAGTCCAGCAACATAGCCATTACGCTAACTGCTGGTCCGTCATTTTAATCAATTCTCACATTTATCCTCAACAGCAGAGCTCTTTGCTATTCAGAGATGAACGTGCATTAGGCGATGGTACCAATTCCTGTTCCAATTTTACACTGGAAGTCTGTTCGTTATTTACATTTGTTTTTGCTTTTGTTTTTTAAAGTGTAGCATGGGATCAGCAGATGGCGTAATGCTTATGTTGCTGGACTCCCAATGAAGTCAACTGCGGTTCAAGTTCCGGACCAGGTGGCTTAAAACTCACACCAGGCACATGTGTGTGCCTGCCCAGAATCCTGAGAGGAGACTGGAGGAGGAGGGATTGAGTGTGGCCATTCCCCTGGGGGGGCGGGTGGTGATTTCTAGCTTTCTGTCTCTCTGGCCAGCGCATGCGCCCTGTAGCAAAAACGCTCAAAACAAGCAAACAAAAAGGGTAGCAAGACTTGTATCTCTTTCCTAATCCTTTATATAATGTTTATTAGCTCAAAGGTTAAAACTGGTCACTCTTTTAGATCAGATAAAAAGGAATCACTGGGCATAACCTGTGGTGAACTTTGAGCTAACTTAAATGTTACATAAGTCTAGATACCAACAGGGCATGAGTTGGCACGCTCCCCAGCAATCCTCGGGTACTTCCACCGTTCACTTGAAGACGTGGCACGTGTTGGAGGCCACTGCAGTCCTGGTAATGTAAGAAGCATGCTTACTTCCTCCTGGACCTTTCACCTGAAATCGCCCAGATTTTTGCTATAGGGTGCGTGTGCTCACCAGAGAGACAGAGACAGCGAGAAATCACTCCCCAGGGAGGATGGCCATGCCACAATCCCATCTCCTCCATTCTCCTCTTGAGATTTTGGGCATACACACACATATACACACCCAGCATGTTTCAAGCCACCGAGTCCAGGACTCCAATTGTAGTCAGCCACATGGGAGTCCAGGGACATAATCACTACGCCATCTGCTGGTCCCTGGACTGGGTTTTTCTTTCTTTCTTTCTTTATTTATTTATTTATTTATTTATTTATTTATTTATTTATTTTTGGGGGGGGGAGAGATTTTCACTGTAGGGCACGTGCGCTCGCCAGACAGACAGAGAGAGACATAGAGACAGAAAGATTATGCCAACTACTGGTTTCCTGTTTTTTATTTTTTTAAATTCATGTTACGGTGTGTGTTCATGTGACAATGAGAGGGACAGACGTATCATCCACAAAGTCTGCTCACGCCACGGTCCTCCTTCCTCCAGCTCACTGGTCTCAAGCAGTAGGGCGCATGCCCAGTGTTTTTGGCAGACCAGGCTGGGGATTTGAACCATGGTTATGTGTGGCCTCCAGTGCTGCGACGTAGCACACTTCTGTCTTTGCCACTAAAGGTGGGCCTGTTTTGATAGTTTCGCTAAAAGCAGGCAAGAAAGAAGAGGTGGAGTCGCGTCTGATGGTCTTGTCAATCATCTTGTCTCACCAAGAACCTCCTCGAATAAGCCTCAAAGTACGGGCTGTTGAGGTAAAGCACAGAGGCGGGCAGTGTGCAGGCATGGCAGTGAGCGTGTGCGAACGTACACGCCACCCGTTCAGTACCTGTTTACCGGGGACTGGTTATACTGTGTAGGTACGACTGCTATCGTGAACAGACTAGACTCCCTGACCGTAAGATCTTGGGAGTGTGTGTGCACGCGTGTGTGTGGAGAGACAGACATAGTTATACTTAATCGTTCGGTACCTGTTTACTGGGGACTGCTTATACTGTGTAGGTACGACTGCTATCGTGAACAGACTCCCTGACCGTAAGACCTTGTGAGTGTGTGTGCACGCACGTGTGTGGAGAGACAGACATAGTTATACTTAAGGAAGATAAAGCAGGGCTGGTCCCAAAGCTAATGGTTAAGGGAAGCCAAAACCCACATGGCCAACCATGGTTCGAAACTTGGCCCTGATGGCTTGAAAAATACACTGGGCGTGTGTGTGTGTGCGCGCATGCGTGTGTGTGCACATGTGCCCACACCCCAAATCTGACAGTATGGAGAGATGGAGAAGGGTCTGCAGCATGACCATGCCCCACTGGGGGTGCTTTCTCCTTCTCCCTCTGTGAGTGAGTGCATGTGCTCCCTAGCAATTAAAAAGAACAAGAAAGCAGAGTGAGGGACAGAGAATAGTGCTTATATTTTATACAGACTGGTCAGGGAAGGCTCTGAGATGGAATTGAGAAAGTTAGCCGGGCACTCAGGCAAAGCAGTGCAAAATTCTTAGGGCAGAAAATGTGCTTCGAGTGTTGGGGGAATGTCAAGGAAGCTGCCCTGGCTGAATGCGCTCAGTGAGAGGGTCCTGCAGGAAAGGCTGGGGAGGGAGCCAGGACACACAGGGCTTGCGAAGTACGCTGTGGACCTTGCACTCCACCTGGAAAGTTCTGAGCTCACCATGGCCCAGGCACCTTCCGACACTGACAGCCGGTGAGTACATTTTGAGAGACCACTCTGGTCGTTTCAGCAAAGGGGATTTCAAGAGCAATGGCTGTCACAGGAAGACTGCAGTGACACTGAGAGATCGGAAACACTGTGGGTTGGAACCCAAATGTCAGCTCCTGTGCCATTTGAAGATTTGTCAGTGTCACCTTCTGTCTATGAAAGAGGTGCCATCTTGACAAGGAATACCTCAAGTCAGGTATTGCTCCCACTTCCGGGAAAGAGCCAGCAACAACCACAGTATGAAATGCAGAAGCAGAAAGTTTCTCCCTTCTCCTGTCTTCTGATCTCCTGATAGCGCCCCCTACTGGCAGAACTTCATGGGAAGCCGGCTGGTACAGGAGCCTGGAAAACCTGGCTTCCCCTGGGGGCCCTGCAGTGCAGCGTATAAAAGGGCGAGGGTAGAACTGGGAGAGAGCAGATACGCGGCCTCCACAGGAAGCGTAGCAGCAGGCAGGCCAGTAAGATGCTATCTGCTATCACGGAGGACCAACAGATGGTGTAATGGTTACGTCACAGGACTCCCATGTGGTCGACCGCGGTTCGAATCCCAGACCCAGTGTCTTAAAACTCACACTAGGTGCATGTGCATGTGTGCCCAAGATCCTTAGAGGAGAATGGAGGAGAAGGGACTGTAGCATGATCATCCCACTCCCTCGGCTGTGATTTCTTGCTTTCTTTCTCTCGGGTGAGCTCACCACCCTATAGTAAAAATGTTTCAAAAAAAAAGGACGTTCCCTTGGGCCAGCAGGTGGTGTGCTGGTTAAGGTACTGGAACTCGTATTGTCCATTCTGTGATGGGAGTTCCCGACTGGCAGCTTGAAATAAAGAAAAAAACTCCAGGTACATATGTGTGCCTGCCCCAAATCCTGTCCCAACATCCCAAGAGGAGAACAGAGGACAGGGGACTGCAGCATGACCTTCCCCACCTGCGGGTGCTTTCTCACCTCTGTCTTTCTGGTGAGCACACGTGCCCTATGGCAAAAATCTTAAGGAAAAAAAATGTTATCACTGGCCTGGTCTGGTGTCACAGTCCAAACCGTGACGGCAGCGCTGGGAGCATTATGGGTTCCAATCGCCAGGTCCATCCCAAACATGCCGGCACATACACAAATGCCCCGGACCCTGAGGGGCGGAGGGCGGGGAGGGGAGGGCAGGTGAGCAGACCCTGTGGAGGGTGTGGGCCTCCCTCCCTCTAGAGCACACGCACATGCCCCCTCTACCATGAATAAAATAAACTAGCAAAAAGGATGCCATTGCTAAAAACACTTCAGGTAAAAGACGATCATCTAGTCTGGAAGGGGTTGGATTTAGCACCTATTTTGAAGATCAGGCCCAAGAGCAGAGTGGAGAAGGACTCTGGAGACTTTGAGATAAAGGGTGGTCCTGTTTGTGGAGACACAACGCTGGACACGGTTTGCACTGTGCGCGTGTTACGGAGGAAGATGAAGCAGAAGTTGTACGCGAAGTTCACTTTAAGACGCCTAGCACAAACTGAAACGGAGATGAGTAGGCTGTAGGCTTCTCTGATCGTGGATTAGATGCGGATTAGATGTGGCTGACTGAGAAGTCCAGGGCCAAGAACTGAACCCTAGGGCACTTGAACACTTTAGACCTCAGGAAGGGGAGAGAGAGCCAGCCAGACTCGCAGGGCTGTCCATGAGCTAAAAGGAAAACCAGAAGCACAGGGGAGTGGAGAAGAAAGTTTCCAGAAGGTGGCCATGACCAGCGGGGCCAGCTGCTGGGGGAACAGAGAGCAGAGCTCTCCCTTTGGACTGGCGATAGGAGGGAGGGAGGAAAGCCTGAGTGGGGAGGTTCCCCTTGGGAGTTTTGCAGTGTGATAGACGGTAGCAGAGAAGCAGGGTGGCTAGCGGGTGACATAGAGCCACGCGTGAGTTTTCTTTTTTTGCACGTGGGTGATGACCGTGTCTGTGTGCACTACAAGTGGCCGGGCTTGCGTAAGCGGCGAAGTCCTGCTCCCTGTCCTCCAGGCACAACGGACCTGGGGGAACAGCTGAGCCCTTGCCTCCGTGCTGCAGCCCTGAGCCGGGAAAGCGGAGAGGCGGCCCCTGCCCCGGGCTTCGGCCAAGGCGGGCTGGCTCCCGGAGGCCACGGTCCCCGGTGGCGGCGCCAGGCCTCGGACTCTGTCCACCCGGCCACACCCAGAGAGCCACAAAATGGAGAAGGAAAAGCCCTCCCAGGGCGCCCTGGCTCGTGGGCCGCTTCCTGTCTAGCGCCTGCTCTCTGGGGAGCTCGCTCCCGCGTGTCCCAGCCACCTCTGGAGGACGACCTTTCTGCAGTCCCTGCAACCTCTTCTCTGCATCCCTGCCCCCGACCCTGACCCCGACCCCGCGCGCAGCGGCGACCGGAGACCGCACGGCCGACGCCCGGCTCTGCGACCTGGCAGTCCGGACGGTGGGCGGGACCCGTGCGGGCGGGGCTGGCGTGCGGCCGGGCTGACTTGGCCGGCGCGGAGGACGCAGCGGGGCGGGAGGTCAGGCATCCGAGTGAGGTGCGGCTCCGGGTCTGCAGTTGGGCCCACCGAGGCAGCGGGAGAGGGGCGGGGGTGGAGAGGCGCGCCCACCCGCATCCCTCCTTCCCGCCACGCCCCCGCTCGCGGTCCCCCAGACGAAGCCTTTCTCCCTAGGCCATGGAGCGCGAAGTCCACGGCTTCGCCAGACGTTTCGGTCTGGCCGGTCGCGACCCCTGCGGTTCCGGATCCAGCAGCTCGAGGCCCTGCGGAGGATGGTGCAGGAGCGCGAGAAGGACATCCTGGCGGCCATCGCCGCCGACCTGTGCAAGGTATGCGCGGAGGATGGGCCGCGCCCACTTGGAGATCGCATTCCGCAGAGCTCCCACCCCCCTTTTTTTGTTTGTTTGTGTTTGCTTTATGTCTGATTACGCAAGCACTGTGGGAGTATTGTCCCCGGTGCACGTCCAGCAGAAGTTTCCGCCGACTTCCTCGATCCTCCAGCCTTGCTTAGCCAGCCTCTATGGGGTGTATTTGCCGAGGCAGAAGTGTCCTGGCCTCAATCGGTCCTCTTCTGCAAATTGCCCTTTATATTTGCTTATTTTTCTGTTGCATTTAGGGTCTGTTTCCTTATGGTTTGTGGGACCTTTGAATATTGTGAGTTTCAATCATTCTTCTGCGCAAAAAGTTGCAGGTATTTTTCTCCAAGTCACGTTTAACTTTTCTTTGGTAGACAGGTTTTTGTTTTTTTTTTTTTTGGGGGGTGGATATTGTTGCACTTAAGTTTCCCTTCAGGACTAATGCACCAGCAGTCACCTGGGGATCTTGTTAAAATGCAAATCATAGTCAGCCCTGTAGGTCTGGGATAGGGTCTGAGTCCAAGTTCCTAACGAGGTCCCTGGTGAAACCAGGCTGCCTCTTATGAAAGTTTTGAGTAGTGTTTGGGGTACAAATACGTTCCTGTGGGCCTTCTAATAGTACTGTTTTTGTTTTTAACTTTGCATCTATTACATTCTATTCTTACTTTGTGTTTCTCTCTTACACATAGTCCCTTCCTGCAGTCAAAAATAATTTTAAGAAGTGGTAACAGGAGGAGTTGCAGTAGTAACTTAAAATTCACTTTAAAGTACTTTTGGTGCAGAGGGGCGGTGATGCTAAAAAAATAAAATGGGGTCACTAAGGCTCCAAAGACCGCATGAATCATTTACTCATTCTGCGGGAATCATCTGTTTATAAAGTGAGTGTGTGTGTCTATCTCCTAAGGAAAACACACTAAGTTCCCTGCCCCTGGAGGGTTTTAGACTTGGTGGGAGACAGAACATATACAGATGAAAATGTGACTATACTTTATAGTAAGTCAGTGCATTAAGGACAGAATATCAGGATGCAGGTCAAAGCATAATTGCTATGGTATGTAAAGTAATCAGGGCAGGCCGTTGTCAATCAGGGACATTTTCCTGACATGGTAGTGTTCAAGTCTGATTTTCAAGGGCTTGGACCAGAAGAGAAGTATGTAGAGGCATTGAATACATTAGAGTGGGAGTAGCAGGTCCTTGCTGAGGGTGGGGAGGGTGCGTAAGAATCTGGTAGTGGGACCAGCAGTTGGCGTCATGGCTATGTCGCTGGACTCCCATGTAGTGACCGCGGTTCGAGTCCTGGACCCAGTGGCTTAAATTCACGCCGGGTGCGTGTGTATGCATGCCCAAGATCCTGAAAGGAGAATGGAGGAGAAGGGATTGTGATGTGGCCATCCCCCCCGGGGGTGGTGATTTCTTGCTTTCTGTCTCTTGGTTTCTCTGTCTTTCTGGCGAGCACACATACCCTTTTAGCAAAAACAAAAAAAAAAGAATCTGGTGGTGACCTAGCTAGTCTGATGGGGTCAGCTGTTGTCACTGTGGGTCTAGTTGGCCAGAAGCTTCTGCCATTCAGGGCCAGCCGTGTCATACTCCTCATGCAGGGTCACTGGTTCTGTCCTCACAGAGTGAATTCAATGCATACAGTCAAGAAGTCATTACTGTCCTTGGGGAAATTGAGCACGTGCTGGAGAACCTTGCTGAATGGATTACTGCTAAGCCAGTTAAGAAGAACCTGCTCACCATGATGGACGAGGCCTATATTCAGCCAGAGCCCCTGGGAGTCGTACTGATCATCGGCGCTTGGAACTACCCCTTCGCTCTCACCATTCAGCCGCTGGTAGGAGCCATCGCTGCAGGTCTGGTGCCACCTTACGTCTTCATTGCTTTTCAGCTCTTAGCCCCACGTTATGAATTAAGAATAGCGGCAGACTCACTGAGTTTACTTGGTGGTGTGCCTTGGTTTAGACCAGCAGTGTGTTGAGAATTCGTAGGTGTCCTGTATTATTATTATTATTTTTTAATGGGCAGCAGAGGAGGATTAGCAGACTTCTTTTTGAGAGAGTTTTTGCTATAGGGTACATGCGCTTATAGGAGAGACTGAGTAAGAAAGCAAGAAATCACCCCCCGGAGGATGGCCACGTAGCAGTCTCTTCTCCATTCTCTTGGGATCTTGGGCATGCACACACATGTGCCCAGCATGAGTTTTAAGCCACTGGGTCCAGGATTCGAACCGCAGTCAACTACATGGGAGACCAGCGCCTTAATCACTACACCACCTGCAGGCTCCAACAGACTCTTGAAGCACTTGGGAAACTAACCTCTAAGGGTGTAAAAGGCATCGAAGAGGCCAGGCCCAGAGGTTTGAAGTCAGCCATTCATATGCAAATACAAGGGGACCAGTTTCTCACTTGGCAGGATCCAGATTGATAGCTTTATGTTGGCTCGGCCTGTTTACCCAGTAATTATGGGACAGAGAGGAACAGAGGCGGAAGCATGGCAAAAGTACCTGCAGTTGGAGTCCCAGTCCAGGTGGCTTCCTTTGTCACTTCCCCTCCCTCTCTGTCTCTCTGGTAAGCACGTGTATCCTATAGCAAATTAAATAATAATAATAAATAAAGTGAATAGTTGCTTTTAGAAAAAGGTGATAGAAAGCTGGAGTGAGAGAGGCCAGTGGAACCTCTGGCCAGTAATCTGACGGTAATGAGATCTACGGAGTTAACGTTTAAGAGCGAGAACGTGAGAAGGAAGAGAGGCTGAGCCGATTGCTGGCTCGGTGTGCGGAGGAACAGAGTTCAGAGCTGTCGCAGCAGTCGGAGCGCCTAGCCTGTGCTCTCTCTGCACGTCTCGGGAGCTGTTTCTGTTACTCGGCTGCTAAATGACACTCTTCTGCTTTTTACTTGGTTCAGGAAATGCTGTGATTGTCAAGCCCTCTGAACTAAGTGACAGTACAGCCAAGATCCTGGCTAAGCTTATTCCTCAGTACTTAGACAAGGTAAGAGTGTCTTGAGCCATCTTTACTGCGTCTGTTTACTGGGGAAAAGATGTTTGATTTCGCGACTGTGCCTGTCACCTCTGGCCAGGATCAGTTTGCAGTCTCCTTAAGCCTCCAACAATTGGCTTAATGAAGGCAGTTTCAGAATACACCGTAGGATCACCCAGCTGTTGTGATTTCACAACACATTTAGGTCCATGGCTTCATAACTACCCGTGCTGTTGACAGAGCTCTTCCACCATTTGGCATTTTGGACTAACCCTTGCTTCAGCTGATACGTGATTTTAGTTGTGTTCATTTATTGAATTACTTAAGGAAGGACTGGTACTGTGCTGGCTGCTAGCACATTTTTGTTACAGTCTCTTTTGCTCTAACCATATAATTTTGTATGCTTATATAAGAACACTTCTGTCTTTTTTCTTTTCTCTTTTTTTTCGGTTTTTGCCATAGTGCGCATGTGCTTGGCTGGAGAGAAACGGTGAGAGGGAAGGTGAGAAATCATCCCCTTGCCCCCGCAGTCCCTTCTCCTCCTGGGATTTTGGGCACACATGTACATGCACCCGGTGTGATTTTCAAGTCTCCAGGTCTGAGACTCGAACCGTGGTCAGCCCTGTGGGAGTCCAGCACCTTAACCACCATGCCACCTGGTGGCCCCACACTTCTGCTTTTAAAAAGGGCATGCTTGTGGCATGAAAGCTACAGAAAGAAAAGTAGGCTCCTGAACCATAGAGTGGATCCTCTGGGGTAAAGTGCTGGCATCTAAGAGTGTCAAGAGCTGAATACACAAAATGGCCTCAGCTGTGGGTGTGGCTCATCTGCCTGTCTGAATCCGAGGTTCTTGGGCCCTCCTGGGGAGGAAGTCTGTGATGCCACCATAAACGGATCCTCTAGGGTAAAGTGCTGGCATATGAGTGTCAAGAGCTGAATACACAAAATGGCCTCAGCTGTGGGTGTGGCTCATCTGCCTGTCTGAATCCGAGGTTCTTGGGCCCTCCTGGGGAGGAAGTCTGTGATGCCACCATAAACGTGAGTTTCACATGCAGTTGCTTCAGGGAGGTGTCTCCTTTAGTTTTCTCAGAAGGCGACTTTAAAATGTCCTTCGTGGGCTAGCTCATGGCCTGGTGGTTACGTGAGCTAGATCCTACTTGGCTGACTATGCAGTTCAAATCCTGGCCCCAGAGGCATGATAAAAAAAGCTGTGTATGTGCGTACATGCCCCAGATCCCAAAGAAAAGAGAAACAGAAGAGGAAGGGTTAGCATGACCATTCTCGTTGGGAGGACGGGGGAGGGGGGGGTGATTTCTTCCCCTTCCTCCCCATCTTCCCATCCCTCACCCCCACACACACGCGTGTGCCCTGGCAAATTGGGAAACCAGTATCCCACCTGCACTGTACATACTAGCTCACAGTGGCCTTGAGGGGAGCTCTGGGAACACTGTGCTCATCCTGCAGCTGTTAGGGTGGCCCCACAGACCCAGCCCTAAGAGCTGTGGTTACCTGGTCCGGAAGGCTGAACTGGGACGTAGCGAGACGTCACAGACTGAGCAGGACTTGGAACCAGAAAGTGGAGGCTTGCGGTCCTACTTTGCCCCTCACCAGGGGTAAACTCCCTCGTAGCTGACTGTCCCGATGGGGAAGGTCATTAGGCCGTACCTCTCCTGGCCAGCTGTGGGAGGTGGATATGGATGCTCTGTAGGTTAAGCCCTGGGAACGTTTCTCGCTTTCTGTGTCCCTCTGTCTCTGTGTCTCTGGCAAACGCATACATTCCTATGGCAAAAAGCTCTCAAAAACATCTTGAAATGTGGTGGGCAGTTAAACTAAAGTTAAACAAACATATTTCGTGAAATGACTGAGAACTAAGGAGCCTTTTCCATGAGCAGGGGCTCAGGCCAAACGCAGGTCCACAGCCAGCTTTTCCTTCATACTCCCCGTCAGGTTCTTCCAGCACCCCCCTCTGCCCCCTTTACCGCCTGTGGGCTGCCATTACTTTTCATGCTGTTATGTGCCGAGTGTTCTCTCTTTAACGATAGCTGCTAATGATAGCATGGTACCCATGAAGGCTTAGTCTGGGGCCAGCAGGTGGCATGGTGGTTAAGCCACTGGACTCACATGGACGACTGTAGTTCGAGTCCTGGACCTGGCAGCTTGCTTTGTCACTTTCTCTCTCTCTGTCTTTCTGGCGAGTGCATGTGCCCTATAGCAAATTTTAAAAATAATAAGTAAAATAATTCTAAAAGACTTAGTCCACAGAAGCTAAATGGATTCTCCCAGTGCCAGACCCAGAGACTGACATTCAGAGGTAGCTCGTGTAAGGTCGCATACCTAGTTGTTGGCAGAGCACGGGTTCGACCCAGATAGACTTCAGAGTGAGCATCGCTGCTGTGCTGTGTATACCGTTCACTCGGCAGACACTGGCTGGGTTCTGCCGCGGACTCAGCGCTGCTCTGTTGTGTAAGGAGAGGACACTAACAGTAAGACCTACAGTGGCACGGGCAACGCATGAGCCACGTCAGGTCCGTGTCGCGTGGGGTGATGGTTCCCAGATGCCAGCAGGTTCTGTGATCTCTACTCACCCTCGGTCCACTCCCCCTCCATCCCTCGCAGGGACTGGTCTCTCTCTTCTGCTTTTCCGGAACGTTACCGGCGTATGTTGAAGAACTTGCTGATGTGGGACAGTAGAATTGATCGGGCAATGCAAGGGTTTGTTTCTCTTTGAGGACCTGTATGCTGTTATTAACGGCGGTGTGGAAGAGACCACGGAGCTTCTGAAGCAGCGATTTGACCACATTCTCTATACGGGAAACAGCGTGGTTGGAAAAATTGTCATGGCTGCTGCCGCCAAGCATCTGACCCCTGTGACTCTCGAACTGGGAGGGAAAAGCCCGTGTTACATTGACAGAGACTGTGACCTGGACACCGTTTGCAGGTGAGACAGGCCGGCTGGGTTTTTCTGGTTTTTCCGGGGCCCGGGGTGGTTTTTTGAAT